ATCGGACCTATTGGTGGTGCATTATTAATTTTTGTAATGATTAACTGTTTCGACAAAAAGTAGAAAATGTTTTATAGTAGCATCCAGCATAAATTTCAAATCACCACAACATCATCTGAGAAAATCACTAAAAAACTGACGCATTACGTATTGAACGCGTCTTGATACCAAACAATTTATTTTCTTGACATCCATCGTTATGTGTCGCGTCACACAAGCTGCTGTATACATGTGTTCACTTGTTGCGCCAAGCAACACCAGGGAAGAAAAAGTAGAACCTGAACACTACGCCACGTGCAATATCATCCATTACGCGCACTCAAAAGCGGCCTGAACTACGCGTTCTAAACATCTTCATTATTTCATCTTTGTAGGTTGATTCAATGGACACAAGTCGCGAAAATAAAACATCACTACGCGTCACAAGAGACTTGAACACATGTGATCCAGAGACATGTAAACATAACGCGTCACTACGCATATCTAACCCACCCATACTCTGACATGGGGAGAGAGCAAGGGACATCCGCCAGATTGGCATCTTCAATCCATGCCAATGGGGAGGGAGGAGCTCAGCCGCGTAGCCTTATAACCTTCTGTCACTGCGATACCCAGCTTTTCTGCCACCGTTATGAAGCCTCTATTGCCATCACCAAGACCCACCCACATATCCACCCAGTCAGCAGTGCGTGCTTTCTCAATCTCTTCGTCGCCCCAGTCCTCCTCACCAATGCGCTCAACATAGATGGTTTGCAGACCATTTTCTTTGGCGGCCTTGAGATCGTTCAAATGAGCAGCTACCATGACACACTCTGCAGGCGCGACGCCTAGTGCTTTGACCGCACCAAGGTAGACTTCGGGCGATGGCTTGTAGGTGCCGAACATCTCGGACGAGAAGAGGTGCGTAAAGGGTATGGCGGTGAAGGCGCGGAGATCGGAGAGGAGGCTGGGTAGTGACTTTAGCATCAGCCGGTCAACGCGCACGCCCCAACGTCGGCAAATCATGTTGGCCACAATCCATGCTCCTAGTTGAGAGCGCGTCCTCGTTTACCGATGCATGCATGAGAGTGCAGTGCATCTCGCATAGGAACGGAAGCTAGCTTACCTCATGTTACCGTTGGACAGTGTGCATGTTGCTATTTCCGTTTAGCGACGCGTTGCAACCAGGTGGCTAGCCTCGACCTACCAAACAGCTGGTTTAGCAGTTGAACGCCCAAAACAGAGTCGTCCCATGGCACCAAATGATGCCAACAAAGGCTCAGAGCGCGAATCTCATGCTCATCCCACAAGCCTTGGAGCTCCCATTTGGCTATGAGCTCCTTGAGTGACTTGAGGTGATGATCATCGACGGTCATCCAAGTGGACGAGTGATCCGCCGCGAGTTTCTGGGTGAAGACCTTGTAGCTGTCTCTCCACTCCTGCGCAAATCGTCCCCAATCTTCTTCCGTCATGGCAGAAGCTCGTAGTCGAAGCTGTGAAGCTAGCGATGCAGTGGCGGCATTGAGCGACTCGTGAGCCTTGTCACATAGGGCGCTAACGACGGACTTGCGCCAGTTGACGCAGGTACCAAAGACATCAAAAAGAAGGGCCCGAGGTGTCGGAGACAGAGCCATGGTGATACCTGTGATAAGCCTTGGAGCGACCTTGAGCAGTGGTGTTGACGAGTTGGGGGCTATCTGGTCTAGCCGCGGATATGATGGCTACATGGTCGATTATATAGTAGTACGTCACCCGGACAATATTCGGAAATAGTCTAATGCCTGATGGGTTGGATGGCGAGCAGCGCGGATTGATGGCAGAATACAGTATGCTTGGGTGTAAGGAAATGTTCGCTTTGTCTTGCAACTTCCAATGTATTTGATCATGACCGTCGTGCCCTGCGTCTAATTGCCCACTCTCCTACACTTGTCCAGTGCTCGAACATGAGAGACGACAGCACGACCGTGGTTAGGACAGGGCGAACAGCAATCAGACACATTCGCTCTTGCCAAAAACGCACTCTGCGGCAATCATACTCAAACTTAGATAGACGGGTGCAGACGCGGAAGCCCGAGTGTGATCTCTGTGCATCTTCCTGGCTTTACATGTCTTCAGTGATACTGCATCCCAATCAAGTTAGTGCTTCCCCGCTACTACTTGGTGCTTTGCGGAGATCTGGGCATGCCCAAGCTGTTCGTTCCGAGGTATTACCCCCACGGCCCATTGGACCGATGCGTCATGACAAAAACGGAGCTCTTGCGCGATTTAGATGCTCTTCCATCCAAGGCCCCTATCGACTGCTAATGAAACCAGACCACATCCCGTTGTCACAATCTCATCTTGTGCAGCTCGCCTTCAAATCCGGACTCAAACCCAACCATGACGCCACATCAACACATCCAGGACCAAGTCTATGCAGCGTCAATCTCCAACCCTGAGGCATTCTGGAAGCGCCAGGCAGCCAATCTTTACTGGCACAGAGAGCCATCGCATGCATTCCGGAAAACGACAAAATATCTGAAGAAGAGCAACGTGTCGCACGAGCATTGGGAATGGTTTGCAGACGGCGAGATATCGACAACTTACAACTGCGTTGACCGTCACGTGGCCAACGGAAATGGAGACAACACTGCCATCTGCTGGGACAGTCCAGTAACGGGTCAAAAGGAGCAGTACACGTACAAGCAACTGCTGCAAGAAGTAGAGACCCTTGCAGGCGTACTGAGAGAGGAGGGAGTCAAACAAGGGGATGTCGTTCTCATCTACATGCCCATGGTGCCAGCTGCTCTGTTTGCCATGCTGGCTATTGCTCGCCTTGGAGCCATACATGCCGTCGTCTTTGGCGGCTTCAGCTCGGCGGCACTGGCACAGAGAATTGAAGCAAGTAGGCCCGTGGCAATCATGACAGCGTCGTGCGGGATTGAAGGAACAAAGAAGCCGACTGGGTACAAGAGCATGATTGAGGGAGCGGTTGACAAGAGCAAATTCAAACCATGCAAAATCATTGTGTGGCAAAGAGAGCAGTTGAGATGGGACCCAATAGTCAAAGAAGACGGGCAGCGCAACTGGCAACGACTGGTCAAGAGTGCGAGAAATCGAGGGCTCAAGGCCGACGCTGTACCGGTCAAGAGTGGGGATGGAATCTACATCATTTACACGTCGGGAACGACTGGGCTGCCAAAGGGCGTGGTTCGGTCGGCAGGGGGGCATGCCGTGGGCCTCAACTTTTCCATCAAGTACCTCTTTGGCATCCATGGTGCAGGCGATGTCATGTTTACTGCCAGCGACATTGGATGGGTTGTTGGACACTCGTACATTGTCTACGCCCCGTTGCTAGCTGGCGCCACCACGATTTTATTCGAAGGCAAGCCAATCGGGACTCCAGACGCCAGTACATTTTGGCGTATTGTGGAGGAGTACAACGTCTCGACCATGTTCACTGCTCCAACAGCTCTGAGGGCGATACGGAGGGACGATGGCGAAAACCACTTCTTTGAAGCCAGGGGCAGAAGGGGTGCACTAAAGACACTTCGAGCCCTATTCCTGGCAGGGGAGAGAAGCGAGCCGAGTATCATCCGCATCTATCAGGAGTTGCTGACCAAGCATTGCGCTCCGGGCGCAGTGGTGGTAGATAACTGGTGGTCATCAGAGTCGGGTTCTCCCATTTCCGGGATTGCACTAAGTGCTTCGTCAGGACTGGACTTTTCTTGTCAAGAGCGTCCAAAGCCACTTGCAATCAAGCCAGGCTCGGCAGGCAAGGCTATGCCGGGGTTTGATGTGCGTGTGGTGGATGATGATGGCAACGAGGTTGCGAGGGGCGAGATGGGCAATATTGTCATGGCGATACCGTTGGCTCCGACGGCGTTCACAACGCTGTGGGAAGACGAGGAACGCTTCTACAAAGGCTACTTGAAGAGGTTTAATGGCAAGTGGATTGATACGGGAGATGCGGGCATGATGGACGAGGAAGGGTATATTTCCATCATGGCACGCGCTGACGATGTGATCAATGTCGCGGCGCACCGGTTCAGCACGGGTAAGTTGAGTTTAGCATGTACTTATGGAGCGGCGTGTATATGCTAACAGCGATGATGAGGCGCCATTGAGCAAGCAATCACGTCTCATGGATGGATTGCCGAAGCAGCTGTGGTGGGAATTCCAGATGCCTTGAAGGGGCACTTGCCATTCGCCTTTGTTACGCTGTCTAGGCACGACCATCCGGAATCGGCAGTCATGGACGAGGGGCTGTTTGGTGAGGTTCAAGGGCTTGTACGGGAACAGATAGGTGCCATTGCTAGCCTGGGAGGCATCATTCAGGGAAAGGGCATGATACCCAAGACGAGGAGCGGCAAGACGCTGCGGCGAGTGTTGCGGGAGCTGCTCGAGAACGCGACGCATGGCGAGTTTGACAAGGAAGTGCAGGTACCCAGCACGATTGAGGACAGCGAGGCGGTCCATGTAGCGAGGGAGAAGATTCGTGAATACTTTGAGCGAAGAGGTAAAGGGCTGCACCGAGCAACAGAAGGGCGTGCAAAGCTGTGAATCGTCGTACTACTAGATAGTCTCTATTGTCTACTACTTGGTAGCAAGTATGAAATTGGGATGGGGTGGGGCGAGGGCAGGCCGGGGTAGCCAAGGAAGGATGATTTCGGCACAGTTGCTTGCTGCGTGGTGCGAGTGTTTTGGCATGACATGACAGGGCGTCGCCACAGGGCAGCAGCTCGCAGAGGCAGTTGGGCTAGGGCGGGGGGGTTTGAGCTAAGCGGGCCATGTGCGGGCCAGTATGATTGTGCGTGTGCCTGTGCTTGGGCATTGGTTGGCCGTGTGGATGAGGAGGAGGGTGACGATGGCGTGGGATGGAGCATAAGTAATGTAGAGTAAGAGAGCATGGAGCTCAACGGCGCCGGGATTGCAGCGGGCCGCTCCCCGGAAAGTCGACGAGAGGACAAAGCAGTGGTTCTCGATGTGTGAGTGATGTGTACTTGGCTGTGACGGTCAGCCAGCCAGTGGAGCTGGTAGGACTAACTAAGTAAGTACTTAGTGTGTAGGAGTAGTGTAGTGGGTAGAGAGAGAGCGGCCGAGCGATGGGCCGGGGGGGTAGGGGGGGCCCAGCGACACACGTGCTTGCAGGAGGCTGCGGGCGATAGTGAGTGGATGGGGAGGGCGGATGGTGGAGGCGGTGGAGTGGTGGGATTTGGGGTAAGCAGCAGGGCGCAGCGGGCCAATGAGGCGGGCCGGAGCCCGGCCGGCGGCCGGCCGGAAGCAGGCGTGTTGGAGGCGATAGGGACACGCACACGCAGCACCAATCCGCCCGCGCGTCGTGGACCTTCTTCCTCCCTGCGCCTATCGACTCAAGACTCGACGCTGATGGCCCCCCCCGGCTCGGCTACAAGCTGTCGCGGCTCAGCCTCCTGTTCCCCGACCGTGTGCGTGTGCGTGAGAGCACCCCGACTGACTGAAACCTCTTGGGAATGGGAATGGGAATGGGAATGCGCGAGCCATGGGGGGTGCGAGGCGAGCGGAGGAGGACGGGAGGGGGGGATCGAGGGCCATTCACGGCCATGACAGCACTGCCTATGTGAATCCACAGCCATGGATGCATCCAGCCATGCATCCACATGCCACAAGTACATGTGCATACACTCTACTTACTTAGCCAGACACATTGGGAGCGCCGAGGCGCGTCCCGGGCGACGGCTATTTGGACTGCAGTGAAGCGGACTTACCACGGCTCCTGCCGTCGAATCACAGCGACACCAGGCCGTCTCAGAGCAGAGGGCAGCGAGGGCCGCATCCAGGTAGGTACATAGTTGCGCTGCATCTCTCCGCGGCACGCACCCGTAGTGCCGAGCACTCGCGTTAGCAGGCGTGCTAATATGGCGTTTGGCGAGGGTGGACACAACGGGCAGAGCGCAGTGCGTTGTTTCCAGCACCATGGGCCACGGCATCGGCGTATAACCCACCAGGCCATGGCCCAAGTCCATAAGTATATTGGCACTCGGAGCATGCAAGCCATGTACAGTTATATATATAGAGTGTATATATAACCATTGTGTCTATATATACATGAGGACATGTAAAAACTTGGACAAGGTTAGTTGGACACATGTAGGCATGTAGTGAGTACATGTACATAGATGTACATGTAGCAACGGCGGTGCTGCTTGTCGACAGAGCGACCTGGACACGACTAGGCGCACGCTGAGGTCGGAAAGCCCGAGGGAAGGGAGCCAACCTCAAAAACCCCGGCTGCCCATGTTGACCTAATCGCGCGTTTCTTTTGACCTCGCCCATTCCTCCTGCCATCTTGACTGCCTGTCCTGCCCTCGCCCGCCGTGAGTTTCGATGCCCGCAGGTCCTGCCCGACGTGGTTGTTGTTGTTGTTATTATTCTTATTGTTGTTGTTGTTGTTGTTGTTGTTATTGTTGTGGTGGTGGAGGTGGTTGATAGGTGATTTGCGCACAGGCTGAGCCAGCGCCCGCCCGGCCGGAGCAGCGCTCTCTTCACGTGGGCACACGAGCCACTGCAGCCAGAGAACCCTGACCAAGACTGCCACGGCTCGCCCAACATCTCCCTTGATCTCGACCCTGTCCGTCCGTCATTCTGTCTGTCTGTCTGTCTGCCTGTCCGTCCGTCCACCCATCCACCCCATCCCACCTACTCACCCTCACCCATCCGCCCATCTCTCCCTGCCTGCACCCCGTCCGCCTCGCTGCTGGTGCTGGTGCTCGTGCTGGTACTCCCGCTCTCGCTCTCGCTGTCGCTGTTGCTGTCGCTGCTGGTGCTGCCGCTGCCGCCGTTGCTGCTGTTGCTGCCACCGCCCTCTTGTCGCCCTCTTGTCGCTGCGCCGCGCCGCGCCTCGCCTCGCCTCGCTTCACTTAACCTCTTCTCTCCTCACCTTCGCCTGTCCAAGCTGCCTCAGGCCCATCACCTCCCTCCCCGCTCGCTTCTGCCGCCGCCGTTTCCGCATCCACCCTGCGGCACACGCCACGCTTCCGCCTCGTAATCTGCCTGTGCAACCATTGTCCTCACCACTCCCTCTTCGATCCTCAACTGCCTCCCCCAGCCCGTCGACACGCGCACCTGTCTTGCTGTGCGAGTGTCGACCGCCGTCGGACACAACCACAACCCCCGACCACGCTCATCCTACCTGCGCCGCCCCCTTGGTCTCGCGCGCCCGTTTGGACTCTCGCTTCCTCCCTGTCTCTCCCCGTCTCTCTCTCCTCCCCCCTCCTCGCCCCCTTCTCCGTGGCATCGCAACCTAAGCTGAGCCTACCGGTCGGCTACAAAACCACTACTTTCATCTACGAGCCTTTGTGAAGAAAAACGGATAAACCCCAAAAAATTCTCGGTACTCGCACCTTGCCCTACCCGCTGTCCTATACAATCTGATCTTTGCCTTGCCCGTGGCATCGGCGCATACCACCTACTACCACTACATCTACTCCACTACCGCCACCATGGCAGGGAAAATGACTTTGTACAAATTGGTGGTGCTGGGCGATGGAGGTGTTGGAAAGACCGCCCTGACTATACAGGTACCTTGATTCCCCTCCCCTTGTCCTTCCACTCTGCCTCTGACAAAGCTGACATTTGCTAGTTGTGCTTGAACCACTTTGTTGAGACATACGATCCTACCATCGAGGACTCGTATCGAAAGCAGGTGCAGATTGACGGTCAGTCGTGCATGCTCGAGGTGCTCGATACCGCCGGCCAAGAAGAGTACATTGCCCTACGAGACCAATGGATACGCGACGGCGAAGGCTTTGTGCTCGTCTACAGCATCTCATCGCGCTCCTCTTTTGCCCGCATACAACGCTTCCACAGCCAAATACAACGCGTCAAGGAATCCTCCATGGCTGGCTCACCCACTTACCCCGGCTCGCCCATGACTGCATCTGCCCCCATGTTTGGCCAGGCCCCCGTCATGCTCGTTGGCAACAAGTGCGACCGCGTCACTGAACGCGAAGTGTCGACCCAAGAGGGACAAGCTCTCGCGAAAGACCTCGGTTGTGACTTTGTCGAGGCCTCTGCCAAGAATTGCGTCAATGTCGAAAAGGCCTTTTTTGATGTAGTCAGACAGCTCCGACGACAACGACACCAGGGCACTGGCCGCTCCCCAACCGACCGAAAAGAACCTCGGGCGCGCCCCGGCTACTCCGAGAAGGATCGCTCACGAGGCGGAGGCGATCGACGCACACGCGGCACTGGCATGACTGGAAGCAACAAGCGCGGCAAGGACAAACCCAAATGCGTCATCTTGTGAGGTGCCACGTTTGTTTCTTCACCCTCTAGCCCACGATACACCTTCCGATATATATTTGGATTTACAGCACAATAACCGGCTGCTACTTGTTCCACATCATCAGCCGCCATCACTGATAGAAAGCACTCAATAAGGCGTCGGCATATGAGCGGCGTTTGCATCGATGGTCTTGCTTTGGTTTTGCATGAGACCCATGGAGTATCTGGAGTACTATGAACATTAGCCTATTCTTATTTCCTTAACGACCAAAGTCCGCGCAGCACTGACATCTTGCACGACACTGTACGGCTGATTTGATTAGTGGGTTGCCTGTGGGCGTGTTGCAAGCATACACTTGTCGACAAACCCCAAAGACGATACTGTGGTAGCATGTGAGTTTTTTTGTTAGCGGATGGCATCGGGAAGTCTCAAAACCTGGAAACGGACGGAAAAAGTCATCGGTTCAGTTTGGGTACATTCTTCTAACGCCCGAGATACCTTTTTGAATTCAACGTCAATCTTTGTTCTAATATACACATGTCTAAATCTATAAGTGCATTATCTACCACTACGATCCTACGTCTTCTCTCTCTCTCTCTCTCAATCTACTCTTAAACTATCCTTCTTCTCTCTATCTTCTATAATTACTCTAAACCTACTACTCTAGCTAAGCTTCTATAATATTTAAAGACTATATAACGTACCTTACGGGTTCGCGAGCTACACGGGTTCGCGAGCCACTTTTACCAAGACCCTACCAAAACCACCATATTATAGCCTAAAATAGCCTTACTTTAGACCTATATAGCGTAAAGAAATAGAAGATATTATTCTAAGTTTACTTCTAGTATCTACTTATATATCTATATATTATAGCTAGTCTTATTATACTATTTATACTATCTTAAAGATAGTTTACTCTCTTTAGCGTATTTCTACTTCTTTAACTTCTTTCTATTACTATATATACTAAAGTCTTAGAGAGTAACTAAATACTTCTTATCTTTAACTATTAAGATCTTTTCTATCTAAACTTATTTTCTTTTATATAATTTTTATTATATAGTATCTAAATTAGCTACTTTAGGCTTAGTAATTTACTTTTATATTAATACTAATTTATACGTAATAATAGCTACTCTCTTTAAGATCTTTTTTAAAATTATTATTATAGATAATAGATAACTATCTATATATCTTTAAATTCTCTACTATTCTTATATTATTTATTAATCTAATCCTTAAGTATTATTAGAAGTTTATAATATTAAGAACTAGTTATAAATAGTAAGAGATAAAAAAGTATATAACTAAATATTAATAGTATATATAATCTATTCTAAGTTATAAATAACTAATTATATACCTAAAAAGTCTTTCTTAATATTACTAAGTATTAATAATATATTTAAAGTCTTTTTAAAGTAAAAAAGAATTCTTTATTTTATAATATAATGTTACACAGGGTTAGGATCTATACTTCTCTGTCCTGGTCCGCACTAAGGTAGGCGAGTATTACGCTAGTGTTCCGTGAGAGTTTGTCTGGCGATGCAGTGGAGT